TCCTTCCTCCTTTCCTCCTCCCCCCCTCCTCCTCCTCCTCCTCCTCCTCCCCTCCTCCTCCTCGTCTTCCTCCTCGTCTCACGATTCGCAACCCTACGGCAGGTCTACGACACCTTGACTGGAAGGAGCGTCCGCTTCGAGCACCACATGCCCTCACAGACCGTCCTCGCTTCCTACCTCCCGTTCTTCGATCAGTATGCTCTCTCGCATGCCGTATGGGTGAGCTTCCTCTACGTCCTCCTCCTCTCCTCTCCTTCTTTCACCTCTCCTCCCTCCTCCTCCTTTCGCTGCCCAAGCGCTGAGAGCTCTTTCAGTCCCCCGACAGCGACGCCTTCTGCTACGCTGGGGTCGGTATGGATGGAGCAGCGGGCGCGTGGGTGCAAGAGCTCCCCTCCTCCTTCGCCGAGAGTCCTCCTCCTCCTCGCCTCGTCATCAGCGGAGCAGAGACAGTTTCTTGGTCGCAGTGCTGAAGGATGAGAGCAGGCGAAGATGGAAGTGTCAAGAGTAGGGGAGAAGGAAGAAAGGAGGAAGAAAGGATTGAAGAAACAAAGTTCAAAGATGCTCGTTCAGTTTGTCTCTCCTCAGTTGGCATCGCAGCTGGACAGGCGGAGTTAAGGAAATGAAGAGAGTGCGATCAAGTGAACGAGGAGGAAGAAGCGTGGAGGAAAGATATGGGGGGGGGAGTGGGGGAGGCGGGGGAAGAAGAGGAGGGGCAGGAGGCAGTCAACAAGCTTCACTGCTGGTCAACTTCACTTGCTTCCCATCTGGCTCTTCACCCTCGCAGGTTCGCAGAGCATCCTCGTAACGACGTGCTGGGGAAGCATCCTCCTCCAGATCTTGACCGTCATGCCTGCATGCCCCAAGCTCAGGGCGATGAGAGAGCGAGTGAGAGCGGCAGAGGAGAGGAGGAGGAGGAGGAAGGAGACAGGCCGGAGGCGGTTGAGTGCGGGGAGTAAGAACGAAGGGAGGGTTCGAGGAGGAAGGAGAAGTGTGGGGAAGGTTGGGGGCGGGGGAGGGGGGGGAGGTGAAGGTTGGAGCTCACTGGCGAAGTAAACGTGTCTTCCTGCTAGAGTGCCGAAAAAGCACAACAATGTGGCGTAGATGGGGGAGAGGACTGGGAAAAAGTCAGGTTCTCCTCGCCGGAGGAGGAGGAGGAGGAGGAGGAGGAGGAGGAGGAGCTGACTGAAGGAGGAGGAGGAGCCTGCTTATCCTCCTCATCCTCATCCTCAGCCTCATCTTCATCATCATCGTTATACCCTCTTCCCCATCCTCCTCTTACATGTCAAGGAGGCGATCCTGTAAGTCCAAGGTCCCTGTATGAGAGAACCATTCGGCTCCTTGGATGATGTTAGAGACAAGACGCAGGAGAGGGAGAGGGAGAAGGAGAAGGAGAGGGAACGAGGTCATGTTGTAGGAGGGGGGATCAAGAGGAGGAGCAAGAGGAGGAGCAAGAGGAGATTGCGAGGAAGTGCTGCGAGCATGAAGAGTTAGCGGGAGGACTTTTGGGGGGGGAGGGGGAGGGGGAGGTTTGTGGGTTTTCGCACATTCAAAACTTTTCGCAGAGCCTGAGGAGAACAAGTCAGCGAAGGCGAGCGAAGGGAGCAGGCAAGACCGGTCTCATCACCACAAGTGAGCATGAACCGGTCACCTGCTGAGTTGTGAGAAGGGAGAGGAAGGCAAAGGAGGGATAGGAGGAGAAGAGAAACGATGAGAAGACGGGAAAAGCGGTACAAGAGAATGATGAAAGAAATGGGACGAGGAGAGAGGAAATGAGGTAGGGAAGGGGATAGCAAGAAGATGTTTAAAGGGTGAAGGAAGAAGACTAAGACAATTAGACAACAAGACAAGCGAAGGGGAAGGAAGGAAAAAGAGCAGGGAGGGAGCAGGGAGCAGGGAGCAGGGAGCAGGGAGCAGGGAGCAGGGAGCAGGGAGCAGGGAGCAGGGAGCAGGGAGCAGGGAGCAGGGAGCAGGGAGCAGGGAGCAGGGAGCAGGGAGCAGGGAGCAGGGAGCAGGGAGCAGGGAGCAGGGAGCAGGGAGCAGGGAGCAGGGAGCAGGGAGCAGGGAGCAGGGAGGAGCAGCAGCAGTTTTCTTCGTCCGTCACCGCAAACACGACGCAGCGGTACGCCATCTCCCTCCACCACTCGCTCGAGTATCTCCCATGCTGAGGACGCTGCCTCGTCGTCCATGCCCAGAACTTGCTGACGGCAGAGCCCTGGCTGTCTAGGGGGTAACAAGAATGAGGGGAGGAGAAGCGAGGGCAGAGAGCGGAGAGAAGAAGAGAGAAGGAGAGAGAAGGAGAGAGAAGAAGAGGGGTTGGAGGGGGTTTAATCAGGGTGCGCAAAGGGAGAGATGACAGGCAGAGGAGAGGGAGGAGGTTCTTACCTCTCATGCTCGTGAGGCACCTGCCAGTATCATGACTCGTCCTGCCTGTCTGCTCGAATCTCCTCCATCCCTCCAGCCGTTTGCCGCAGGTCCTCTCAAGATGCTTGCCCGAGCAGCGTCGGAGCAGGTCAAGGCGAGCAAACAGTCTCTGCATGCGATTCGCTTCCTCTTTCCTGCCATGAGCGTCAGGCATGACGCGCGTTGACCTTCAAACATCCGTCATGTCCCCCCTCCTGGTTCCCATCCCCTCTTCTCTTCCGCATAAAATCCTTCTCCCCCACCCCTGCCCGCCCCTGCCCCACTCTCTGGAAGGTGTGGGAGAGGAGGAGGAGGACGAGGAGGACGAGGAGGACGAGGAGGACGAGGAGGACGAGGAGGACGAGGAGGACGAGGAGGACGAGGAGGACGAGGAGGGAGGACGAGGA